ACTAGCTAACATTTGAATGAATCAAATGATCTTCTTTTATAGTGTATCTAAAAGAGTCATTGTGAGGGTAGAGATGTCCTTTCAAATTCCAATGGTCATTTCCCAACGGATAGAATAGGGACGTGTTGGATAGAACAGTGACATCACTTTCTTTGTCCTTTTCTTGTAACGTTAATATATCATTGTGGGAGACAACTCTTATCCACAAATGATATGATCTTCATTTATCAGCTTGGACAAATCAGCTTCTGGCTTTGGTTCTTCTGATGAGTAGTTCAGAAACTACTTTGGTATGATAGCATAATAACATCAGAGTTGTTTGACTTCAGTACCTTGTTTATCAGAGTGGATAGCAACAACTTATCTGATTAACACGTCTTTGTCTAGGTGAAGCTATATAATCTTCAATTTCAGAATCTAGTCTTCAGAGTCTTTTTGCACTTGGTCTTCAGAGCCTTCAGCCTTCAGAGCTTCAAGTCATCAGAGTCTTCAGCACATAGTTCTTCAGAGGATTATATCTTCAGAGTCTTCAGATTCTTTATCTTCAGAACCCTAAAGTCTTCAGAGTCTCAAGTCATTAGAGTCTTCAGAGCTTGGTTCTTCAGAGGACTATATCTCAGATACGTTGTTAGATTCCAGATCAGATACACATCTCAGAACAAAATCCACAAGAGCATTGCAACCCCAATATACAACATCCTTGGATCTTTCTGATCGTGATCAGATACAGAGGCAAACTTGCTTCTTCAATATGCTTTGTTTGCTTTCAGATCAGATGCACTTCTCAGAGCAGAATCTACAGGAGCATTACAACAATAATATACAACATCTTTGGATCTTTTTTATCGTGATCAGATACAGATGCAAACTTGTTTCTTCAATAAGCGCTTTATGACACGTCACACATAGTAACTCTCATATTGTATTAAATGCACATCTTGATGTTGTTTGTTTGATCTGATATCTATAATTAACGTGATCTGCACATAACAAACATTAGAATATAAAATAGTTCTTTCATAAATACTTCATTGTTATCATCAAAACATAGAGATAATCTTGCAGATACAATTCTTATTCTTACAATCTCCCCCTTTTTGATGATGACAAAAACATGTATTTTGATAGAACATTTTATACAGGGTAAACACCAAGCATAACATATTCAAAGTTTCAAGCAACAGCTCCCCCTGAATCTGTTAACCTCAAAAATTCATTTTTACTTGTTCAGAGACTTTCTCTGATCCCAAGACCTTACAAAATAGAAGTTTTGAAAGAACAATAATATATGGAAGAGAAGGAATACTTCCATATGGTCTAAAAAAGCATAATTGTTTAGCATCTGGACTTGTTCAGCAGAACTTCCATCTTCAGATCTTTAGACTTTGTTTTCTTTAGACATCGTGTCAGAGCCATATAACTTCAGATCCTTCTAAAGCACTTGCTACTGTTCATCAGAACAACTGAGTCTGAAACCAATTCTTACTTTTATGAAGATTTCTGATTCTTATGCTCTGATTATCATATTTACAGACAGTTTACATCTTTTGAACATTATGATTCCAGATGACTTTAACTTTCAGAGATATTTCAACCTCAGAACAGTATTGAGTCCATCTGATTCTGAACATATGTTCACGAAGTGTATAACTTCGATTATATGAACAACCAGATCGTTTGAACTCAAAGTTCTTTCATTTGACCTGTTCAGTGAATGCCTAGTGAACTTGTTCAGAGTTCCTCGGTAAAACATCAAACACATGGTTAGTAGTAAACGCAGTTTATATCTGAGTTGATGTTTTGCATTCTCTTTAGGTTATATCAAAAACATATTCTATTTCTCCCCCTTTTTGACATCATCAAAAATGTGAATTTTCATTAAATAACAAGATAAAAAAACAAAGAGCCTAAAACTTAGAGGTTGACATCTTTACCAGAGTTTGTTTAAGCATGCTCTGAAGAGAGTTGTTGACAAGTTTATGTTCATCAGAGCTTTCTCTGAAAACTTGTTGTTCTTCCTTCATAGCTTGTTGATCTCCTCGAATCTCACTAATGGCACATTCTGAACGTACAACAACAGTTTCAGAAGAAAAACCAACTATAACAACTTGCTTAACCTTCTCAGCATCTTCAACTTTTCATGCTAATCTGGCAATTTCTTTTCTGGAATATTCCTCTGCTAGAATTCTCGTTTCTTCAGCATCTCTATGCAGTTATTGCTTATTAATCATGATTATTCTTTGATATTCAAAGATCTTCACAGTGATTCTTTATCTGAGTGCTTTCCATTCTGACTTTTATCTTTCTTCATTCTAATGCAGTCTTCATATGAATCATAATGACTTCTTCAGCTTCCTTTCATCTGGATAGAAACACATCTCCTCTGATGTTTGTTTCATCTTGATCAATAGTTATGAATTCCAGATTCTTTCTTTGGTCTTCATTTTCTGATCATCCATCTTTTGTCATTACAAATGATCACGCCTCTTTATTTTCCAGATGACTTGTTTCCAGATGGTCGCTAGTTTCTCAGTATAAGCATAATCTTCAAAAAGGTTATGTGTTGAGGAAACTTGTTGACTTCTTGCATCCTGGGAATTTATTCTCTGAATAGACGCAATTGTTCATCACAAGCTGTCATCAAACCAAGATGTATTTCTTGAAATAATTTGAATGACAATCTTGTTCTTATAAACCAGTATCAGTTCATCTGATGGTAACTTCTTCTTCTGCTAATCCGCCTTTGGTTTCTGATTCCAGGCTTGTTATCAAATCAATCATGACTTGAATTCTAGCGACAATGCTTCAATTTTGAGTACTTGGTAGCTTTTGGACTTCCAGAATCAATATGCATCATGATAGATACTAATTGCCTTCGGATCTGAGTAATCATTCCGACTACTGTATAGAATGCTTTCATCATTCATGAATACATACATTTCTTTTGAAGTTTGTTCTTTCTTCAGTATCTGTACTTGATTGTGAAGAGCTAGAACGTTAGATACTTCTTTCCTTTCTGATTTGTCTTCAGAAAACTTCAAAGCTTCTACTTTATCTTCTGGAAAGATTCTCTACATCAGACTTTCTAACCATGACTATTAGTGTAATGTTCTTCTTGTCATCAACATTCAGTCTTTGCCCAGAGGAGCTTCATCAACAGATGTTAGCTCAAATAATGACATCAAGCCTAGAAGTGTTTCTTCAGAGGGTTGGAGACTGATATGGTTCAGATATTAGATTTCACTAATTTCCATAGTAGATTCTTCTGACAGTGTGAAGTTGCAACTCTGCTTTTCTTGTATCAGATCCTCTGATGAAGTTTTATTTTCTTCTAATCAGAGTAAGCTTCTTCTAGAGGAACACTTCAGATCATAGCAGATCTTTGCTCTTCAGAAATTCTTTGTTGCTGACGCTTCAGAGCCATGCGTGATCTGATTCTCAGAGGAGATGTTTTTCTTTGGAGAGGGGATGGAAAATGGGTTCGAATTCTAATGGAATTTTGTGTTCCTTCAAGTTTTGTTTCTCACCGTTCATATGCATTTTGTGTTGTGACTTATTTTTTTCCAAATTTGAAAGACTACTTGCTATCTTTGACATTGAACTCTAATTTGGAGAAAAAGATAGAAGTTAATAGAAGAAAGAAGACAATGATTTAACTCCAATTTAGAGAAGAAAATGGAAGATGAAGGAAATATGGATGAATATTGTAAATAGAAGAAGAAACTCACAAACCCATTTGCTTACTTGATATGTCACCTTAGTCATAATTAACGTTTTTCTACACAAACTATATGTATGAAAGAAATGGTAACAGAATTGAAGTTACAAATCATTATCTAACATTTTTTAGTTTGGGAACCAAAACAAAACTTCAAAAGTTCCGATCTATATCTTTATTTTATCTCTCTCCAAAATCATCTAAAGTTTCCAAAGTCATAAGAAACAAAAGTCATTAAATTCATTCCAAGTTTTCTAGGCCATGAAGAGTTCAACAAGGCTGTTCTGGGAAGCAATGTTGGAGGCTCCTTACCGAAGAGTCCCCATTGATTGGGCAAATGTTAAGAGTCGTCACTATCACAAGGGATCTATCTCTAACGGAAGCAAATGTTGGCTACCAACCTAACTATGCTTGGCGTAGCATTCTCTAGGACAGATAGCTGTTGGAGAAGATGGGCAACGAGAAAAGTGAGAATTTAGGGTGACAATTGCCTTCATACAACTTACAAGTATGTGATCTTATCGTGAAACCAAACACAGCTTAAACTAGTCAATTCAAATGCCAGCTCAAACCATAGTTACGCTAGCCAAAATTTTCACGAAACCTCTGACGTGTAAATGACGTCATTCGTTATTGTTTACTCTCATACTATGTCATCCGTGTAGGACTATCATTTGTTTATTGATCCCAACCATCATTAGTCTTCTCAAACGTCACAAACTAATAAACTAAAACTACTCATGTTTCATATCCACATTCCACACATCACTATTTCAACACTCCTTTCTAAAATATTACTATTACTCCTTATGTAATACATTAACATTTCTAGTACACCTATTATAATATCCTGTTTATACTTAAAAATAATTTTAAAAGAATACTAATTTATCATTAAAATCAATTAAATAAATAAATGTTATGCAACTATTAGGCTTCATTCATTTATTGTTTTTCATTAAATCTATGTAGAAACCTTAGTTAAGATTATTAGACACTATTTCTCTTCTCTTCCTCTATACACAAACAATTAGCTTCCTCTATATTTCAATAAATCAATTAACCATTACAAAAATTTAAAAAATTATAAGGAACCACAGTTGATAATGTGAAGGATTTCTCACTTATAAGTAATTTCACTAATTTAAAAGATTCTCTTCTCTGCCAGCTGTGTCCTTTCTTGGAGTTTCAACATAACAAGCTTTGCAGAGGCATGAGAGAAACTTATCAAGACTTTGCACCCCACCAAAGACTCAAACTATGAACATCACCATCATCATGATCAAGTGTAAGTAATCAAATCAGACGGTTGCCAAGCAGACGCAATCAAAAGAGAAAGATCTTTCCAACCAAGCTTCAAAGAACCACTCTCTTCCACAAGTGTATACCCTCTCCAAGGAAACATCCCCAACAACAAACTCGCCTGTGCAGCCGGGTTGCCCCGAAGCGAAACGGGTCGAAATCCAGCCCGTTTCAATTCATCCCCCCATCTCTCAACTTTCACCTCACCAGTTCTCTTGGGCCCACCCACGGCGATAATGTTCCTTATCTCACACCCCAACAGTTGCTGCTCCACCATATGCCTCTCAACACTGTCCGCACCCAAACCATCCCCGAGCGCGTCGAACAACGCGCTGTAATAATGCAAAGCCTCCACGAACCTCGCGAGGAAGCTACCAGCGTGGCTAAGATCCTGTTCAACGGTGGTGATTAGCTTTGGCCTAAGCTGAGTCAGCAATCTCAACGTTCCTAAATCACTTCCGGTTATATCGTACAAGCAATGGTGCATCCAGTGAACCACGATGGCTTCGTTTGGTCTAACACCGAGTTGACTCGGTTCCGTTACGCTTCCGATTTTGCCTTCAACAGGATGAAACTCAAACGGAAGTCCTAGTGAACTCGCGAAATCGGCGAGTCTTCTTCCCGTTGATTCTAGAAGCTCAGAGGAAGATCCGAAACCGGTGATTCTTACGGAGCGGATCTTCCTGGATCGTGAAGCCAGGATGTGAAACAATCCTGGCCATTGAAGTCCTTGCATGATATCAAGGTCGATGATATGGACACGATCCTCACCGTCCACGGCTTGGAAGATAGCTTGATTAGCAGTGAAGTGCGAGAATTTCACCAACGGTGAAACTGAGTTGTAGGATTGAAACGCGTTGAAGATTCTCTGCGACTGAGTTAAGGTTACCGATTTAGCCGTTAGCGGCGAGTAACTACCGAGGCAAGAGCTCACAACTCGCGCTTGTAGAGCCTGTGCGAAGTAAGCACCGACGCGCTCCGGTGAAGTCCCGAACGGCGAGGAGAGCTCGGTTATCTCCGGTAAGAGATCATTAGCAAAGTCGAGGTTATCCATGGCAACACACTCAGCGCATTGGAGTAAAAGCCCTAGGAGTTTCAAACCAATGGATTCACCTTCAGTTTGAGGCTCAAATGCTTGCTCCTCGTCGTGTCCTTCGCCTTCCGCCACTGTCTTCTCGCCGGAGTAGTTAGGTCGTTTGAAAGATTGTTCCGGAAGGGATGAATCACCGTCGTCGTGTTCGCGTTCAGGGCGTTTTGTGTTCATATTAGGTTTAGAAGTGAGAGGGGGTCGAGGGACCAAGCTTTGAAGCATGATCGATAAGAAGAGATAATGAGGGAGAAAAATTTGTTGAGAGAATCGAAAGGTTTGGAGGAAACTTTTGGGAGAAACGTGACAAAAATGAGAGGGAAAGACAAGGAAAGTTTGTACAGAAGGTATGTCAGAAAAGGAGTGTTGAGTTCAGTGTTTGGTGAGAGAGAGAAAATTTAGATAAGGAAAAGAAAATTAATGTGATAAAGAGATAAATAAAGAGACAGAAAGGGCTATGACTTTGTAGCCCAGAAAAGTTTGGGTATTATATTACTCCTATCATCTTTGGGTGCTCCGTTTTTGTTTTGGCTATGTCTTTACCTTTGTTTTTTACATGAAAAAATTGTGTTGTTATTTATTATAGGCTGCTAATAAGGGGTGGAGGATTAGTTAAGTGTGATTAGTTTACTAATCACGTCATGTTTTGGGCTTTGGTTGTGCCAAAACCTTTAATTTAGTTCTCATCTAATTTTTTGTCATTTATCCTATGAATAGGACAACGAGACAATGATATGTGTCATGTATTGTTTAATTATTGATCATCTTACCAGGATGAGATTAAAATACTCCCTACCTGACTGTGACCCTTTATTTTATTATCATTACTTGCATGGTAGCTCTTCTTTATCTATTTAGCTATATTGTATTTCTCTTTCACAGCACATTATTTTGCAATGGATGGTTTATCAAGTTTAAGTAATTGCTTTAGTGTGTTGGTTTATTAATTGTAAGTAATAGTTTTTGTGCAGATTTGGTATAGCTTTTTGGAAGAGTAGAATAATTGATTTTGAAATGTTTGGTTTTTTTAATAAATATAATTGATTATTCCACTAAATTAATTATATTTGAAATTAAAATTCATAACTTTTGAGTTTAAAGATTATTTTTACATTTGAAATTTAATGTTCAATTTATTTCTACATAAATTTTATTCAAATATAAGTGATTTTACCTTCAATTCACTTTCAGTTAAATTTATCCAAATTCTTGTTTGATTTCTGAGATCAATCAATTAAAATTTTGTGTTTTGTTGAGAGATCTCTATAATTAAAACTCTCGTTTGATTTATGAGATTTGTCCTGAGTTAAAAGATGTTAAAACTCTCATTTGATTTATAAGTTTTGTCCTGAGTTAAAAGATGGATTTTGTTGGGATGTTTCTGTAGTTAAAATCTTGCTTGGCTCATGAGATTTACTAGGTATTAAAAGCTTTCGCTTGATTCTAGATTGTACTAGTTGTAAACTCTCTTGTTTTGTTGAGGGATCTTCATAATTAAAACTATGTATTTGGTTTGGAGGATAGTCATTGAAAAACTCCAGTCCTTTTAAAAGGAGGTTTATAGATAAAAAATGTGAAAAACTCGCACAAGATCATAGTGAAAACTCTAAAGAAGAAATTCTTAGGGAAAAAAGTATGTCACATTATTAGACTGAATCTCTAGAAATCTCTGGTGTTTTTCTATCTTTCTCCGTCTCTTTACATTTCAGTCAGTTATTTAATTTTGTTGTATTTCTTTCTTTCTACTCTGATTTTCTTTGTTGTACTACTTATACCTTGTTTTGTTTTAAACTCTATTTTGTGAAAGATTTTTATTTGAATACCGTTTTTCAAACCCACACAATTCACTCATCGCTCCCCTCTTGTGTTTAGAATCACTTGTCTAACATTGTGATTCTATTATAATCAATTATGAGTTAGTTATTACCATTATGTAATCAATTATTAGAAGTTGTCAATCAATTATTGTAGACTTTCAAATTGTGATCAGTTATTCTATCAGGTATAATTGATTATCATGTGTGTCTTTTTTATTTGAATTTTCATAATCCAATATGAAGGGCAGATTATGAAAAAAGACTTTCAAATTTTTAGAAAATTGAGCTCGTTTAAAAGTAGATAAAACTAAAATAAATTGAAAAATATTTGTTAAACAGTGTTCTTGCTAAAACACTAAAAGGTTAACTTACTCGTTATACCTTAAGGAGAGTCTTAGATGACTGGTTAAGGTGTCAGTTTTTTGTATGTTTATCGCGGATTGATTGTCCCTCCTCTCTTTCAAGCATACCTTATTTATAGGTCTTTCTTTGCTAATCCATCTTCCTGTAACGTCTGCCGCTTCCCATAATCATCTCATAACACTCGTCTCTTCAATGATTGTCATTCTTTAGTCATAATGTCTTATTTCATAACCGTCTCTTGTGTCCCTTTGTATGGCCTTCGAGCTTTGACACCGCCCCCAACTTGTATGATCGAGATAGTTCTCGGTTCATATGAGGTCGAATCAGTCATGTTTTGTCTGGTTACTCTTAACCAGAACCCGACGTAAAAGTAGGCATATGACCTTTCGATTTTTCGTTCTCATCATGTTCGGTGGTCCTTCCCACTCATCCTAGAAGAACTTTTTGGGTGTATACTCGGCTTTACCGGGCTTGTATCTCAGTTGGTTGATGACTTCTTGGCAAGTGTAATGATAATGTCGCAGTAATAAGAAGATCAAATCCACAAGGATTGTGTTAGAACAGAATAATAATTTGTGCAGTATTAAACAAAAGCAGTAAAATGGGGGTTTTGCAAGTTTCAAAGAAAAAAAGAGATTCAACGAGAAAACGATGTTATGAAGACGGTCAGGTTGTGTTTTTGAATCCCTTTATCCCCTCTTGTTGATGAGCGATGCCTTGTATGAATTATCTTATTCCTATAATTTTACGGGGAACCAACAAAATTGTTATAGTCAGTCCCCCACGAAATAGCTCACTAACAACTACTCTGAGTTTTCTATCCCTAGTCCGCCAGATAAGTAGTGTTAGGCATTGTATAGACCGTTAGCTTTCTGTGCCACTATTCGAGGTATCATATCCATATTCAACCGACTTAAATAAAACAGTTACCCTAGATCCAATACATAGGCTACGGGTCAGGAATCTCTATGCATCTAACATCGTATTATAACAGAGTATCTCAAATACATAGGCTACGGGTCCTGACCACTTGGATTTCAGCTTTCCCGAGAACAATCTTAACCTCGAATTAAATAAAAAACCTTGTTGGCAAACCTGAAAAGTTTTTCTCATAAGCTTTTTATCATGGTATCTTTGTTCTTTCCTTGTAAATGAACGCATTTTCATATGCCGACAGTCGCATCTCTTCCAACTCATCCAGTTTCAATAATCTCTTCCTTTCAGCTAATTTCTCGTCAAAACTAAAAAATTTAACTACCCAATACGTTTTCCAATTCGATTGGGAGATGACATGATTTGCCATACACGAACTGATATGGGGAGAACCCTAAATTCATTTTGAAAGTTGTCCTGTATGCCCAAAGTGCATCATCTAATTTGGTTGACCAATCTTTCATTGATGCCTCCACCGTCTTCTCTAGGATTTGATTTAATTGTTTATTTGATACTTCCACTTGACTGCATGTTTGAGGATGATATGGTGTTGACACATTGTGCTTCACATTATATTTTTCTAGCAATTTTTCCAAATACTTGTTGCAAAAGTGTGTTCCACCATCACTGATCAAAACTCTAGGCACCCCAAACTTGGCAAAAATATTATTTTTCAAAAAGTTAGTAATAGTGCGGGCATCATTAGCGTTGCAAACAATTGCTTCCGCCCATTTGGTAACATAGTCAACACACACAAGAATATAAAGACATGCATTAGATTGGGAAAATGGACCCATGAAATCAATTCCCCTACAATCAAATAGTTCTACCTTAAGCATAATGTTTAATGGCATCTCGTCTCGTTTTGAGATGTTACCTGTCTTATTGCATTCTGGACATGTAAAGACATACAACCTACAATCATGAAATAAGGTAGGCCACTAGAACCCACTATGTAGAATTTTTTATGATGTTCGCTCACCACTATGATGTCCTCCATAACCTGAACTATGACAGTGTCCCATAATGATGTCTGCCTCCTTACCTGCAACACACTTGCGAAGTAAACCATTAGGACTTCTCTTAAACAGATATGGATCATCCCAAAGATAAACATTTGATTCCTTATAGAAGCGTTTTCTTTGTTGCCAAGTATATTCTTCGGGAACAACATTTATTGCCTTATAATTTTCCATGTCTGCAAACCACGGTCTTTCACTTATTGCCATTATTTTCTCATCCAAAAATGTCTTGGTAATATGATGCTTATTCTTTGCCACCTCTTCATTTTCCAATCTTGACAAATGATCTGCCACCACTTTCTCCACTCTCTTTTGTCTTTAATTTCCAAATCAAACTTCTGTAGCAGTAACACTCATCGTAGCAGACTTGGTTTGGAATCACTTTTGTTGAACAAATACTTTAGCACTACATGATCTGCAAAAATAATAACTTTTGAAACAATTAAATATGGGCGAAAATTTTCCAAAGCATATACCAAAGCTGGAAATTCTTTTACATTAGTGGTATAATTAACTTGATTTTCATTCAAGACCTTGCCAGCATAGTAAATTGCATGAAAACAATTTGCGTGTCTTTGGCCAAGTACTGTGCCAACAGTATAATTACTAGCATCACACATAATTTCAAAAGAGAGTTCCCAATTTGGTGATACAATCAATGGAACGGAAATTAATTTATGCTTGATTATAGAGAAAGCGTTAATTCATTCTTTGTCAAAATCAAATTCATTTTCTTTGACTAGTAGGTTGCACAATTGTTTTGAAATTTTAAAAAAGTCTTTAATAAATCTTCGGTAAAAACCTGCATGTCTTATAAAACTCCTTATTCCCTTGACATTTATCAGGGGTGGAAGTTTCTCTATCATTTATTTTTTTGTTCGACCGACTTTTACACCTTTCGTAGAGATTTTGTGCCCAAGTACAATACCTTCAGTGACCATAAAATGACATTTTTCCCAATTTAAAACCATGTTTGTTTCGGTACATATCTTAAGGACTTTGTCCAATCGATCAAGACAACTATCAAACGACTTAATAAAAACAGAGAAATCATCCATAAATACTTGTATCGGATTTTCAATCATACCAG